GTCTTGATTTGAGAAAGGACTCCAGGTATCGATCCATATGACCTGGATTGGCTGATGTGATTGGCCTCTTAGATGTTTTGGATCACAACTCCCATAATCTATATTCTACATCAGGGGCATTATGGGAAGTTCAAATTTTGATCACACCCAGCTCCTTCCCACTGCTGCCTGCTACCCCCTTACTGGTTCTGCATCAAGAAAAGCCAATGGGTCTTTAAGGGGCCACAAACCATTAGTTTTTTACAGCAGCCGCTCAAGAAATCCAGCATAATGTGTGATCTTCTGGGGACCTCCAGGTGGCGCTGTGTCATGTTTTGTGTTCAAGAGGGATAGATACTCACCAGAGCTTGGCATTTTTAACGCATCTCAAGTATACCGTAACTCATAGAATTCTGGGAGTTATAGTTTTTTCGGCGTGTACCAAGATCCAGGTCTATAGAGCCTGTGTCCTGAGCACACTCCTATACTGCAGGGAGTCCTGGACCCTTTGTGCACGGCAGGAGAGGAAGCTGAACACCTTCCATGTGTGTTGTCTCCGACACATTTTTGGTATCACCTGGCAGGACAACATTCCAAACAGAGTAGTCCTAGAACGAGCTGGAATTTTTAGCATGTATACATTACTGAAACAGCAACATCTACGTTGGCTTGGGCATGTCGTGAGAATGGCTGACGGTCGGATTCCAAAGGCTCTCTTGTATGGAGAATTAGTGCAGGGAAATCGCCCCAGAGAGAGACCACAGCTGCAATACAGGGATATCTGAAAGTGGGATCCGAAGGCCTTAGGAATGGACCTCAACAGATGGGAAACCCTGACATCTGAGCGTTCAGCCTGGAGGCAGGCGGTGCATCACGGCCTCTCCCAATTTGAAGAGACCCTTGTCCAGCAGGCTGAGGCAAAGAGGCAGTCCCGAAAGCGACAAAATCAGGGAGCTGGACAGGGGACAGATTGTATTTGTCTTCAGTGTGGAAGGGATGGTCACCCTGTTCCAAGTCCTCCATACAGAGCACCTTACCATAGTATCTCGAAACTGAAAGATGCTTACATATAGTTTTTTCCAAAAAAGGAACAATGTTAAACACTGGTCTTCACCTGCTTAAGAACCATGGTGCCAGTCAAAATCTATTCAAGAGAAACCATCCCCACCCCAGCGATTGGATTGCAAACTATGGACTCAACATAAGCCAAGATTTCTTAGATCATAATCAAATGTAAAATATTGTGATGTTTTTGGTGTAACTTCCAGCTATATTTCCTTCTTCTAACCAGAGCCACCTCACAAGTCCCATTGGTGATCAGAGATACTCATCACCATGTTGTTCTTGCTTGTTATCTATAGCCTGGGATTAATTTAGCCACCAATCATTTCCATGGTTTATAGCACAA